GTCCCTAGGCCAATGTTCATCCTGATCCTCTGGTATGCCTTCTGTATAATTATGACAAACTCTGTTCTTTTACCATAATCTGCTAAAAACAAAGTTTCACTGAGTTTAAAGAATCTTATACCTGTATTTCCATGAAGGGAGGTCTAAAAATCATTGGATTGAATATTACTGACTGGATATTATTTTGTCCTTTCATTTTAACAAAGAAAGGAGGTAAACAGAAAAAGTAGTAGCTTCCAAAATAAAGGAGAGATAAATAAAAAGAATTAGAATCAGTTGAAAGAATAAGTGGTATTTGGAAGATAAAATAGTTAAAGAAAGCAAGTGTACAAGTCACTAAGATAAGGACTCAAAGAATCAAATACAATTACTATCAAGTAATTTTAAAGCAGTTAAAATTGTGAGGGAGCAGTAGAGACCAGCTATGGTTTTCCCATCATGAGAAGTTGCGTGGTAAAGGACATTTAAAGTTTTGGGAACAGGGGGCAAAGCATATCCCAGATCTTCATTTGCAAAGGACACCAGACCGCTGACTGGTGAAAGTCACTTAGCAAAAATCAGGGAAGAGCCAGTAGACAAACTGACTGGTGAGTCTGGAGGGAATGATTACTTCATTATGGAACCAAAGAGGGAAATGGAAAAGGGAAGGTGGTCAACACTCGAAGAATGGCAGGTTTGACCATCAGCCAGAAGAAAAATGTTTTAGAAATAAGGTAGACCTAAAAACTCTCTCTTAAGTGAACCAGTTTTCAAATCAAACTCATCACGTAAGGAAGGAAGTCCTCAATAAGGGAAAAAGAAAAAACAAAGAGCCAGAAAAGACTACTACATGTTTTTAGACAGGTTTTCATTGCTTGAGGCAGCCCAGTCAAGAAACTACCAGATCTGAAATCTAAACCACACGGCTGCTCATCAAGCTGGCTTCCTATAGGGCTACAGCCTGAAGCCTATCCATCCAGACTGGAAAGGAAGAAGTAAAATTATCTGTATCCACAAACAGTACAATCAGATATGTGGAAAAGACTAAGGAATCTACCAAAAAATCTAATAAAACTAACAGCAAGTCACAGAATACAAAATATAAAAATCAATTATATTTCTATATACAAGCAACAAAAATTTGGAAATGAAATTTAAGTTCATGTACAATAGCATCCAAAAACATAAAAAACAATAGCTGTCCAGGGAGCACCTGGGTGGCTCAGTCAGTTAGACATCCGACTCTAGATTTTGGCTCAGGTCATGATCTCAGGGTCATGGAATTGAGCCCTGCATCAGGCTCCGTGCACTCAGCAGGGAGTCCGCTTGGGATTCTCTCTCCCTCTGGCCCTCCGCCCCACGCCCTCTCTCTAAAATAAATAAGTAAATCTTTAAAAAAAATAATAGCTGTCCAGGGTTCTCTAAGGTTAAAAATGAAAGTGAATACTTTCTTTAGCCTAATAAACACTCAGCTATCATGGTAACTATTGTGTTAGTCATGAGATAGGGAATAAGAGAAGGAGGGAAGAAGAGGGGACTGACATTTGTTTGAACTTTCATTTTGGGGTTGTCAAGTTGAGAAATCAGAACAGATCAAGGCAGAAGGATAAAGATCAGCTAAGTGATTCTGTAACTCAGCCTTCCATGTCCATAGCCTTAATTTTATAAAAATCAAGCGTTTCAGTATCCAGAACATGCCACTGAGATTCTGGGAGTAGAAAAGATGAACGTGAGGAAGTCTTTTAGTCTGATTAAAAGATAATTTTCTTGTTACAAAGACGCAACTAAGATCAGAGGCACTTGGGTGGCTCAACTAGTTAAGCATCAGGCTCTTGGTTTCAGCTCAGGTCATGATGATCTCATAGGTTGTGGGAATGAGCCCCCAAGTCAGCTCCACGCTCAGTGGGGAATCTGCCTGTAACTCTCTCCCTCTGCCCCTCCCCCCACCCGCTCATGCGTGCTCTCTCAAATAGATAAATAAATCTTTAAAAAAAAAAAATAAACACGGGGTGCCTGGGTGGCTCAGTCGGTTAAGCATCTGCCTTCAGCTCAGGTCATGATCCCAGGATTCTGGGATCGAGCCCCACATTGGGCTCCTGGGTCAGCGGGGAGTCTGCTTCTCCCTCTGCCTGCCGCTCCCCTGGTCATGCTTGCGCACTCTCTCCCCTCGCCCCCGTCAAATAAGTAAATAAATAAATAAACCTTAAAAAAAAAAAGACGTAACTAAGATCAGATTTCTCTTTCCTCTGAGACCACTGACTTACAAGAAATAAGTAAAGCAAAAATAAGCTATAACTGCTAGTCCCATTCTCTCTGTGCCTAGTAGGAAAAAAAGGTGAGGCCCCTATTCCAAAAGTAGTGAAGAAGGTTATAGCTTCTCATTGCTTCAGTCAGGACTCAGCATCCATTTAAAAGGGTAGGTACTGTTACAGCCATCTGTGGGCTCCTAAGAAACCAATCTCCCTCATCTCATCTGGGGAGGTCCAGAAATTCGGCCAGGAGATCCCAACTGGCCTAACAGTGGCTTCACAGACTGGGTGTAGTCCTACCAGCTTTTGCTGCCCCAAGGAGAAAATCATGGGTTATCCCACTTTGGGGGTTAAGCAGGATATTATGACTTACTGAGAGTGGTCAGATATTAAGGAGTTGGTCTGCCCACGCTCAAGTCATACATTGAGCCTTTAAAGATTCACCACTCAGAGCCAAGGACAATCTTATATTTCGGGTATATTTCAGGTATTCAGCATTTGCCCCTAAATTCAAATTGCTGCACTATAATCAAATTGCATTTGCCCGATTCAACTAATTCAGGAGACAACATGGAGACTAATCTTATTTAAAAAGGCAGACGCATGGGCATCATAGCCTGAAAAGGGACGTGTGTCTCAATCCTGGCCAATGGGACCTGGGTAGGAGCAGATATCTGCAGGCAAGCTCCTAGGAAGTTTTCCTTCATGATCAAAAGAGAAGCTTGAGGATTTGGGGTAGGAGAGCCTCTTTTGGACACTTGGAGATGGTTGTCTATAATGTGATGACTGGAACTATAGCAGCCATCTTGAAACCACAAAAAGGACAAGTTGAATAAAACAGCAGAGAAAGTGTCTGTGCCCAAGACTGCTAAGGCACTGCCCAACCTGGGAATACCCTATCTTTAGATATCATATTCTAGAATCATAAACAATAAATATAAGCCATCTTCTAGTGAGCATTCTGAAAACATCCTAACTGATGCACAGGTCAATAAGAAAAAGACAACAGAAAACTGGATAAAGGATACAAACAGAAAACTCACATGAGAGGAAATGCAGATAGTCAAAAAACATCCTAAAAGATGGTCAACTTTGCTAATAATAAAAAAACCCACCAATGAACAAGTTTTTTTTGCCCAGATTTGTAAAATTTAGTAATACTAGAGTTGATAAGTATTTGAGGAAACAGGGCTCCTCAGGTTTCTGAGTAGATTGCAAACTGGCACACTGGTACACAATTTAGCATTTATTTAAATGCTAAATTATAGTTTATTAAAATTTGAAATGTGCATACCCTTCGCCCAACAATTCTACAGAAATACTGACACACGCACACAAAGATGTTTGCACAAGGATGTTCGATATTGCACTGTTTGTTAAGCCAAAAAAAAAAAAAACCTTAAATAGTCCAAAGTCCATGAGTAAGGAATTAAGTAAATAATTTATAATCCACTCTACTGTGGAATAGCCACAGTTGTACAAAATAATGGGCTAAATCTGTGTAGAAAGGCATTTGAATCTATTCAAGATATACTGTTAAGGAAAACATTCAAGTTGCAGAACAGTTATGCATTCCATTCTCATTTTTCTTGTTAAGTAAAATGCTTTTATATGTACTGAAATAAACCTGGGACAATATATAACAAAGAATTATCACTAGGAGGTTGATATGAAGCCCCTCAACTTTATGTATTTCTGTGTTTAGGAGTGTGTGTGTACGCATGTGTTTATGTATTTATTGCTTTTGCAATTAAAAAAATATTTTAAGCTAATCAAGCAACAGAAAGACCTGGTCTTCTCACTACTGTTCTAAGAGAACTACAGCCAAACGTCTCAATTCCTCCCAGATAACATGGAGCCCAAGATGCTAGATCCAGCCTGGGAAGCTGTCTCCTGTGCTTGAGGGTGACATGAAGTTGGCCCTGTGGCCATGAAAGGTAGTTCCAAAGACAGCATCCAGGAACAAAAGCTAAAGAGACAGCCAAAGAGCTCACCCCAAGGGGCCAGGCAGAGAGGCAAAAGCCACTGGATGAGAACCTCTGACACCAACCCAAAGCCAGCTAGCCCTGAATGGAGGGTGGTTGTGGCTCTGAAGTGATCTTCTGAACAGCTGAGGTGAAGTGTGGCTCACAGGGCATCTGCCACCTCAGGAGCCGGAAGGGAGGAAACCATGAGGTAGGGAACCATCAGCGAATAACCCAAGTATAAAGAAGCAATAAAGCATTATGCTTGTTTCAATTTCCTATTTAGGATGGTTTCAGATTTTAAAAAAGGAAAAGAGAAAACATTTACCTTCTTATAGTTTTTTAGGTGTAACTTAATTTCTTTCCAGTCATAGGTCTGTGACAATTTGCATACTGCCTTGATGCAAATAATTTTTTTAAGAGTACCTCATTATACTCCACTGGCTTGGAGGGATTTTATAGAATCAAGCCTATCTGTCTTCCTTTGACATTTGATTTTGGTAAATGATCATCAGATGGGAGAGTTGCTGCAAGATGGTGCCCCCCCCCGCCCCTGAAGCACTGGGCTGGGAGGAAGAAGATCCCTTCACCATTTCTATCCCCCGAAAGCAGTTTGTCTGAGCCCTCCAAGGCAGTCAGCCATCGCCCGACGCAGCCAAGCTGGGTGAGAAGTCCTTTTTAGGCAAGACATTAAAAGGAGTTGGCTGAGCAGATCTAAAACCCTTGGTCAACAGGGCGGAGCCAGCCCTGGGGCAGAAGTATTACTTCACAGTTGCATCGGCTTCCTGTGGCTGCCAATAGAGGCCGCATCTGGCGGCCAGCCCGCTGCAGAGAAGAGGGAACTCCGCGGAGAAGAAACTAGCAATGAGGCCCCAAAGGTGGAAGTGCAGCCTGAGAAACTTGAGCGAGCCTGGGACTGCGCCCCCAGCTTGCCTGGCCACTCTGCAGAGCGTGGCGCGGCCTGTGGTATCCCAGGGCTTCATAAGACGGGTGTGTGTCTCCTGTGGTGGGCCCGGTCCATCGGCGTGTCCCCCACATTACTTAATCCCTATCGTTTGTCCCATACCATAAGGCTATGAGGCAGGTGCTACTATTGTTCCATTTTTCAGACGGAGAAAAGAAGCTCACGGAGGTAAAATAACTTGCCCCAGGACAAACAACCAGGAAACAGAGAAGCCCGGCTTCAAAGCCCCCTGTGCGGCCCGTCCAGAGCCTGGACTATGACCACAGCACCTTCAGCTTTCAAGTGAAAATCAAGATGAGGTGAAGGTTAGTGCTGCCTCCAACTGACGCTGGGGATTGGAGCAATCTTGTCTCCTCCCTTGTAGGTAATATTTTGGGTTTCCTTCCTTGCACACAACCAGGCAAATGACTGCAATTCTAAAAAGAGATAAATATAAAAACAAGAAGTGAAACACTGCAGACACCTGAAACCCGACCATTTCTGCAAGTTCGAGCTAGCGGAGCCGCCGCACAACAGAAATAGTTCTGTCCTGTTTAGATAGGCTTTGTTTTGCTACATGGCTGCATATGCAGTGAAGTGATATCAAGTCCTGAGGGTCCACTCCTTTGATGAGTTAAACACACAAAGGCCTACATTTTGATGTAATCTGATAGCATGTAGTTCAGTCCTAGACAAACTGCAACTGTGAGGAAGTGATAAACCCAACTTCCTGCACAGAGCTGCCTGAGATAACACTTTCCATGGACTGGAAGAAAAAAAAGAAAGAGAGACATGATTGCTACAGAATTTTAAAAAGAACGATTCCATTCTTAATAAATAAGCCCTTTTCCATGGGGCTCCAGCAACGGCTAAGTAAAACTGACTGCAGTCAGGTGACTGTGTAGTATTTCCACATATGACTTAATTCTGGTTTTACTCATTGACGATACCGGTCACTGGAGAGTCACTTGATCTTTCTCTTAAGGATACGTTAGTTCAAACTCGAAATCTCAGGTATCTTCTTGGCCAGGAGAACATCCCTGCAGTTGACCAAGAACTCACATTGGGGGAACTCACATTGCATCCCACGGAGTCATTAAAGAGGCTGACTCAGTCTAGATAAACACACATTGGAAATGTTGCCAACTTACCGAAGGACCAATAACTATTTCCACAATGCCAGCACAAGGTCAGGGAGGTACTTTCACTAAGTGGGTCTAATAAATTGTGTCATATATAAACAACCATTAAGAGCTGACTGTGTTGGGAATTTTCTGTGAGTGCATTCACTCATTCACTAATTTGGCAAACGGTTATTGAGTGCCTACTGTGTGCTAGGAAATACAAGAGCAAACAAAGAAAGAAATAGCCCCATCCCTCAAGGACTAGTTAGGGAGACAGATATTAAACTAAACATACATATACGTGTAAATCAAAAGCATATTGAATGCTCTGAAGAGAAAAGGACAGGGTGGCCTGACTTCAGTTTTGGATGGGGTGGTCACTTCCCTAATGATGTGATATTTATGCCTGAGTCATCCAAGCCGACCAAGAGTGAGGGAAGAGAGTTTCAGCAGAGAAAACAGGCCATATCAAGGTCTTGAGTTAGGAAAGAACATGGTGCCTTCAAGGAGCTAAAGGAAGGCCATGTGTCCAGAATAAATTAAACGAGGAAGAGAGAGACTTATGACATAAGCCTGGAAAGTACAGAGGAGCCAGGTCAGGCAGGGGCCTTGCAGGCCATGGAAAGGAGTTTGGCTTTATTCTGAGCACATTGGGGATCATTCCACAAAACACCACTAAATCTCTAATAGTGTTTTGCTTCTATATTATTTTCTAGGCAAGAATCTCTGAGAAATGCAGCAGCCCTAACACTCTTTGGGGGAAAATGTGAGATAAAATATCTACAAGTAATTTAGAGCATCAAAGGTATTCCCCTTAGTTCAGCCAGTTCAGCCAAGCTACAAACTGGGACAGGAAAAAAAAAAATCAGGATGATAAAAAATTAATGAATCCCATGTCATTTCATTATTTTAATATGATTACAGAGTCATAAGGTAGCACGCTATAGAAAGACTGGCCATTTGGACCAATCCTCTTGTTTTACAAGAGAAGAAAATAAGACCCAGAAATGGACTTTGGAGATTCATTTGCTGCAGTCACTGGGATGGGAAAGTGAATGTCCTGGTACTGAGAACTTCACCAGCCTGTCACTGAAAATGGATCTGAAAAACTGGACTTCCAACATGCAAAACCAGTTTCAAGTTCTCCCTCCTTAGGGCTTCTTAATGTGTTGGTTTTATTCCACAGTCAAGTGATTTAAAGAGCCTTAAAGCACAGGTTAGTAAAAGTCATCTTTTCCTCTTGTGTGTATTTCCAAGTCCAGACCCTTGTGTTTCTGAGAACCTACTCTGTGTCAGCCCCACTGGCTACCTGGACCTCAACTCTAGGGGTTTTGAAGTACTGAGTATGATTAGAGATTTGCTTTTCATTCTGAGGCTCTGGACAAGGGATCCTGGCTTCCTTCAAGTGAAGTTACAGAACCTCCTGGTTTGAGGTTGAATCATGTTATTAAAAAAAGGATGGATACCTCCAAAACCAGTGACACATTACCTTTGCTTTTCTGACAGTTTTCCACTTGGGCTGACTGAATTCCTGCTATGTAGTAGCTTTCTGACCTCTGTACAGTTTCACTTTGTTGACCTCACATAAAATTCCCTACCTCTCTGGGCTTCTGCTTCTCTTCAGATGATGCCTGAGAACCTTGCATGCCCAACATTCTCTGTGTCCAAGATCAAATCAAAAAAAAAAAAAAAAGTTTAGAATCTTGACAGAAAACGCCCTTAGTACCATCACTTTGGGATGGAAGGAAGGAAAAAGGGAGGGAGGAAGGGAGAGAAGGAGAAAGTGGGAGGAGGAGCGGGAAGGAGGGGGGGAGGTAAGGTAAAAAGAAAGGAAAAGAGGGAAGAAATCATTAGTGAACAAACTAAGGAAGGAAAAAGGGAAAAAAGCTGTGCTTTCCAAACCTTTCTGCAACCTTGATAGAAATCTATTGGGCTTGAGCTGTGAATAAGTTATTGCTTACTTAGCCATCAAAACACAGACCAGTGGGGTATACCTAAGCACCCGTTGCAGATTTTGACTCTGGGTACCTTATGCGTCAGCAACCTCTGTTTAAGAAAACAAATGAAGTTTCAAGAAAAAAAAACTGTTAGAGAAGAGTGATGCTTTTTTTCTTTCAAATTTGAAATACTTTATATTGCAAAGATTTTGTGAATCGGTGACGTCTAAGAAAATCACTTAGCCCAGAGCCTAGCACTTAATAAATGCTCAGTAATTGTTATATAATGCTCATACTATGGAAAACCAGAAAGCCCAAAATCCAGACCTCTGAATTGCTCTGTGATTTAAGCAGGTGTCTCCACCTCTCTGAGTTTGTTTTCTAAATTTGTAAGAGGAATGGTTTGGATTGAATTGAATGAGGTGGTATTTAGGGTTTTTCCAGTCCTGCTCTCCAAGTCTGTTTCTAATGTGTTAGGGCACCCATGTTTGAGTTGAACATTAATATCATTTTAATGAAAATAATCTCAGGGCACTGGGGTGGCTCAGTTGGTTAAGCATCCGACTCTTGATTTTGGCTCAGGTCATGATCTCCAGGTCGTGAAACTGAGCTCCTTGTGGGGTTCTGCCCAGGAAGTGGAGCCTGCCTGAGATTCTCTCCCTCTCTCTTTCTCCCTCTGCCTTCCCTCCCTTCTTCCCTCCCAAAAGAAGGAAAAGAAAATAATTTCCTTCTCACATTATATTTTTTTAACTTTTTTTTAAAAGATCTTATTCATTTATTTGAGAGAGAGAACACAAGCAGGGAGGAGAGGCAGAGGGCAAAGAGAAGCAGACCCCCCATTGAGCAGGGAGCTCCATGCAGGGCTCCATGCAGGGCTCCATGCGGGGCTCCATGCAGGGGCTCTATGTGCAGCTCCATGCGGGGCTCAATCCCAGGACCCTAGGATCATGAAGTAAGCCGAAGGCAGACACTTAACCAACTGAGCCATCCAGGCGCCCCATCTCACATCATATTATAAAGCACCTACATAACTGTACAGATTTTGGAGCATTAAAATTAAAGAGAAGTAAATGGAATTAACATTTGCTTAAAGGACCAATCATAAGGGCAAATTTTGGGCAACTAATTAAAATGTAAATTCTCGGGATGCCTGGGTGGCTCAGTCGATTAAGCGATTGCCTTCAGCTCAGGTCATGATCTCAGGGTCCTGGGATCGAATCCCACATTGGGCTCCCTGCTCAGCGGGGAGCCTGCTTCTCCCTCTGCCTGCCACTCCCCCTGCTTGTGCTCTCTCTCTCTCTCTCTCTGATAAATACATAAATTAAAAAAAATCTTGGGGGTGGGTGCCTGGGTGGCTCAACTGTTAAGCGTCTGCCTTCAGCTCAGGTCATGATCCCAGGGTCCTGGGATCGAGCCCCGCATTGGGCTCCATGCTCTGCGGGAAGCCTGCTTCTCCTTCTCCCGCTCCCCCTGCTTATGTTTCCTCTCTGGCTGTGTCTCTCTGTCAAATAAATACATAAAATCTTAATAAATAAATAAATAATTTTTAAAAATACAAATAAATCTTAAAATGTAAATCCTCTTAATAAACGTGAAGTTAGGGGTGGCGCCTGGGTGGCTCAGTCATTAAACGTCTGCCTTCGGCTCAGGTCATGGTCCCAGGGTCCTGGGATCGAGCCCCGCATCGGGCTCCCTGCTCTGCGGGAAGCCTGCTTCTCCCCCTCCCTCTCCCCCTGCTTGTGTGCCCTCTCTGTCAAATAAATAAATAAAATCTTTGGAAAAAAAAAGAAATGTCAAGCTAGGGAGTCTGGTCCTAATACTGCACTGTGGTATTTGGAGGATCTCAAGAGTTTGCCCAAGCTCTGCTGGTTCTTAATTCAATCACAACATCTGCTCAAAACTCAGGACTTCCTACAACTGGATTTTAAACACCCCTAGGAGACTGCCATTTCCTTGAGGGCTTCTCTTCAAGTAAAAATGTTTTTGCCTCCCAAATTGAGTCAACACATCTGTTCCTACCTATCTTAAAAGCTTCATCAATTCAATAATTGTCCAAAAGGAAGAGGGAAAAAAAAAAGCTATTGTGTGATGAAAAATTCTGGCAAATCTTAAGAAAACACATTCTTAAAACATCTCTCATTTCTGAGAAACAAAGTAAAATGTATGAATTGTTTTTGGTTTCATGACTAACAAAATGATTCATTGCTACAATGAGGTATTTTGACCATATCTACATAAAACAAGTATGAACATTCAATTGAAAAAATAAAAATAACTCAATTAGAAAAATAAACTTTGAGTACCTCCTCTCTAAAAGGCACTGAACTTGGCCTCAAAACACTAGGGCAAGTTGTCATGCTCAAGTTTAAGCTATTTAGGTGTTAGCTGTAGTTTCAATGCACTGAGAAGTTTCTTTACAACTCCTCTGTGCTAACACAGTAGCCACCAGCCACATGTGGCTATTGAGCACTTGAAATGTGGCTAGTCAAATTGAGATGTTTTGTAAGAGTAAAATACACACTAGATTTAGAAGACTTAGAACAAAGAGACAATGTAAAATGTTTCATTAATTTTATATCAATTATATATTGAAATGACATTATTTTGAGTATATTGTGTTAAAAATATATTGTCTTAAATTCATCTGTTTCCTTTCACCTTTTTAATGTAGCTGTTAGAAAACCTAAAATTACATATATAACTTGAATTTGGTTCACACTGTATGTCTTTGGGGAACTTCTGGCTTAGACTCCTGGCTTATTGTTTATTCTAAGGCTTAGAATCTACCTAAGAGTTCTTACTCACAAACACCTTATTCTTATTTCCAGAAAGATTCAGTCTGGTGTCATCTTACAGATTTGTAACTAGAAACTAAACTTGTAAAAGTATATCTGCAGTGATGAATATTTTTTAAATGAAAAGATATTCATATTAAATTTGGTGGGGAAACAGAGGTTTAAAAACAGTATATAATGAAAAAATACCCACCCACACTTATTTTTTTAAAGATTTTATGTATTTATTGGTCAGAGAGAGAGAGAGAGTGCACAAAGGGGGAGCAGCAGGCAGAGAGAGAAGCAGGCTCCCCACTGAGTAAAGAGCCCAATGCGGGACTTGATCCCAAGACCCCGGGATCATGACCTGAGCTGAAGGCAGATGCTTAACCGACTGAGCCACCCAGGCATCCCTCACCCTCCACTTATAATTAAAGAAATATAACTAAGACAAAATAAGGCAAGTATTTAAAAGTTTCATAATACCCACTATTGATGGTGATGATGGGAAACAGCATTTTCATATGCTATTTGTGGGAGTATAAACTGGTACAAGCTCTTTGGAGGGCAACTCAGCAATAGCTATCAAAATTTACAATGTATATATCCTTCAATCCAGTATTTCTATTTCAGGGATTTTATCTTACAGTTATATGGATATATTTATGCAAATTTCGTAACAGCAAAAGACCACAAATGATCTAAAAGTCCATAAATAGGAAACTGGATAAATGTTTTGTTATATTCATATACTGGAATACTATACTGCCAATAAAAATGATGACAGTCTCAATATTAGTAGTAGAAGTATTAAGAATTATAATACTACTTTTCCCAGGCGGCTGCCAAAGATGGTGGAGGGGCAGGTCTTGGTGCTTGATGGCCGAGGCCATCTCCTGGACCGCCTGGCGGCCATCGTGGCCAAACAGGTGCTTCTGGGCCGGAAGGTTGTAGTCGTGCGCTGTGAGGCCATCAACATTTCTGGCAATTTCTACAGAAACAAGTTGAAGTACCTGGCCTTCCTCCACAAGCGCATGAACACCAACCCATCCTGTGGCCCCTACCACTTCCGAGCACCCAGCTGCATCTTTTGGCAGACAGTGCGAGGCATGCTGCCGCACAAGACCAAACGAGGCCAGGCTGCCCTGGAGCGCCTCAAGGTGTTTGATGGGATCCCACCACCCTACGACAAGAAAAAACGGATGGTGGTTCCTGCTGCCCTCAAGGTGGTGCGCCTGAAGGCTACACGGAAGTTCGCTTACCTGGGGCGCCTGGCTCACGAGGTTGGTTGGAAGTACCACGCAGTAACAGCCACCCTGGAGGAGAAGAGAAAGGAGAAGGCCAAAATCCATTACCTGAAGAAGAAGCAGCTCATGAGGCTACGGAAACAGGCCGAAAAGAATGTGGAGAAGAAAACTGATAAATACACAGAGGTCCTCAAGACCCATGGACTCCTGGTCTGAGCCCAGTAAAATTGACTGTTTATTCCTCATGTTCGGCCTGGCCTGCCCTTCCTCCATCGCCGCCCTAGGATATGGGGGACCCCCAGGGGCCGCTGTCTGGAGCCACAGGCAGCCTGGGGCTTAGAATGCTGGGAACACAGAAAGGGCTTTAGTCACTGCTGTTAATTAAGAAAGGCCTTCTTTAAAAGGTTAAATTCTAAGAGCTTTGAGGCATAATTGCCTGTGACCTCATTTCTGAGACTTCTAAGAAATTGATAGTTAGAGCAACTATTTCACTGTTGGCAAGAGATCTGGAGAATGTTTGGAGGGGAGCCCTGTGTTGTGAATGGGGTGTGTTTAAACTCGCAGCAGGTCTGGGTGCTATACTCTCCAGCTGTTAGGGTGTGAGGATGCTGGGGGCCAAGCCTGGTGTTGTACAGCGGTAGTTCCAGATGCATAGCCTAGGAAGTACAGCCAAGGGGTCTCAGGCACTGCCCTTGTGCTTTCCCTGTATTTTGTGATCCAAAACTAATAAATTATTTTTAAAGAAAAAAAAAGAATTATAATACTAAGAAATATTAAAAAAAAAAGGCACAGTGCAGGAATCAGTTACTCAGATTTATTTGAGATTATGTTTTCTGCCACCAGACAGAATGAAAGTTTAAAATAATCATTAAATTGAATTATAGAAAAAGTTATATTTGGGATGCCTGGGTGGCTCAGTCAGTTGAGCATGTGCTTTCGGCTCAGGTCATGACCCCAGGTCCTGGATCGAGTCCCACGCCGGGCTCCTTGCTCAGCGGGGATTCTGCTTCTCTGCCTGCCGCTTCCCCTGCTTGTGTTCTTCTCACCGGCTCTGACAAATATATAAATAAAATCTTAAAAAAAAAAAACTTATAAAAATAAAAAAGTTATAGTTTTCTTCTGAATTTGGGTGACTAAACATTTATTATACCTGCCACATTTGTGTTTATAGAGGTCCTTCTGGAATCAGGACAGATTGAAGAGGAGCAGAACTAGAAGGCATCTTATGTAAGGGCCTGGCACATGGTAAGCACTCTATAAATGCCTGTTGTCATTATTAGTCATAATAATTCAAGCTAAAAGAGATGCAAACTAAACCAAGGTAGTGATAGCAGGATAAAAAAGAGAAATGACCCATGTGACAGCTATAGAAAAAGCAGAATTGACAGGACCTCATGACTGAAAGCAGGTAGGAGCTAGTAAGCTAGAGCAAGCCTTCGGGATAATTTCCAAGGTGGGCTGGAGGAGCCAGGTGGATGATGGAGCCCATCTCTGAGTCAGGATACTCAGAAGAACATGAAACTTTGAGGAAAAGATAAATTCAGTTTAGGACATTATAAATTTTTTTTTTAATTTATTCATTTGAGAGAGAGAGAGAAAGCACAAGCAGGGGGAGGGCAGAGGAAGAGGGAGAAGCAGGCTCTCCACTGAGCAGGGAGCCCAACATGGGGCTCTGTCCCAGGACCCTGGGATCATGACCTGAGCTGAAGGCAGACGCTTAACTGACTGAGCCACCCAGGTGTCCCAGGACATTATAAATTTAAAGAGTCCTATGAATCTCCAACCACAGCCACTGAGTGATTGGATCCATTTCTCCAGAATTCAGTGAGAGAGGACTAAGTTAGAGTATGTGTCTTCACTGTAGGGGCAGTGTCATAGTTAAAGCTATGTGTTTGGATGAAGCTATTCAGGAAGAGCTAGGGACGAGACCAAGGGAACACAATGCTTAGAAAGTGTTATGGACTGAATTGTGTCCCCTTTCTCAAAGCCGTGTGTTGAAATCCTAACCCCCAGTACCTCAGAATGTGACATTACTTGGAACTAGGGTCATTAGAGATATCATTAAGTTAAGATGAGGTCACTAGGGGAGGGGAGGCTAATCCAGTATGACTGGTATCCTTATAAAAAGGGGAAATTTAGACACAGGGTCATGCACACAAGGAGAACACCACAAGACAATGAGGAAGACATCAGGGTAATGCTTTTACAAACCAAGGAATCAACCTTGCCAACACCTTGATCCCTGATTTCAAGCCCCCATAACTGTGAGACAATGAACTATTGTTTAAACAACCCAGTTTGTAGTACTTTCTTATGTAGTACCTTCTTATGACAGCCCTAGAGATAAATACAGAAGGTAAATAGAATGAAAAGTGTACAAACAACATTTAGATGGTGAGGTCCAAGAAAGGAGGAAAGCCAGAAAAGCATGGCAACACCAAGCCAAGAAGAAAGAATTTCAAAAGGAGGTCATGGTCAACAAAATCAGATATTTCCAAGAAGTCAAGCAGGGAGACAGAAAAGGTGACCCCTGACAAAGCAACAGAGAGGTCATCATTGACCTTGGGAAGAGTATTTTCAGTGGAGTGAAAGAGATGGAGGCCAGACTGTGGTGGATTAAATAAGATGTGAGAAAGAAAAATGGGCCTTTCAGAAGTTTAGAGAAGGAAAGAAAAGGAGAGAAAGCAAGCTAAAGTGAGATCATTGGGTTACATATTTCTTTAATGAGGAAGATTTGGTACAGCTACCTGACAAGGACAATGAGCCAGTGGAGAGGGAAAGGTTGAAGGAGAAACAGAGAGATGACAGAAATGGAGATGGAGACAGAGATGAGAGATGGAGATTGGAGATGGAGAAGGAGATGGAGATGAGAGATGGAGACGGAGACGGAGATGGAGATGGAGACGGAGATGGAGACGGAGATGGAGATGGAGATGAGAGATGGAGACGGAGACGGAGATGAGAGATGGAGATGAGAGATGGAGACGGAGACGGAGACGGAGACGGAGACGGAGATGAGAGATGGAGACGGAGACAGAGACGGAGATGAGAGATGGAGATGAGAGATGGAGACGGAGACGGAGACGGAGACGGAGATGAGAGATGGAGATGAGAGATGGAGACGGAGACGGAGACGGAGACGGAGATGAGAGATGGAGATG